GAATTTTTTTCTGGACACTTTTGTCTCTAATTTGCAAACAGACTCCATTCCCTTCCTAGTGAATTCTGCCAAATAGCCTTTCCAGTCCCTAGGAAAAAAGAGAGAGAGAGAATGCAGTTGATATTGGGAGTAGAGAAAAGGACAGTCCAATTCAGAGCTTTTAGCTAGGGTAAAGCATTTGAAAACCTGTTGACTCATAAAGGACCACCCAGTCGGAATACAGGAGGAAATAAAGCATGACCAAAATCCCCTCAGAGATTTCTTCCATAACACCCTACTCATAGAAGCTCTGTGAAACTATTGCAGCTTTTGAAATTACATGACCTCAGTAAAGACCTAGAAATTTTTTATTAGTCCATAGGGCAGGCTATTGAACAGAAATGATGTCTACCTCTAATATGTGATAATGTTACTTTCCTAGATAAATAATAAAACTCTCCATTGGATGTGGTTGGAAAAAATGAGAATCTCTGTGCTTGAGAATTTGAGGGAGATAAGGAAAAAACCTGGGGTTGAAGCAGAACTCAACTGTTTAATAGCCTAAGCAATTCTTCCTGGTTTTTCTCTAAAGTTAAGTCACCACTCTATGGCTCAGCATCAAAGGAATACTGTTCAATTCTTTGTTGAACTTATAGACTGAGTAACATGAGTAGTGGGTAAAAAGAAGAAAGGAAAATACCGTACACCTTTAGTTACGGGGGAAAGGGAGGCGGAGGGAAATAAACAGGTACAGAATTGGAATTCTGAAAGTAATTAAGATGCTATTTAGTAAACCCTCTCCCACAGCGCGGCTTGGAAAAATGATGAGTCATGGCTTGGAAAAATGATGAGTGACCCGAAGGGATACAATTTCTCATGCAGATTTTGAATCACAGTCACAGAAATCACCTTGCCCTGGGGTAGGGACAGTACTTTCTCGGCATTCAGAAAACCCTCCTGACTATTGTTCATGTTTACAGATAACCTGCTTAGGCTGGTTAACTGATAACACCCAGCACAGATAAACGTGTTTAACAAAATATTCAGCCATGCTAAGCCCACAACTATTCTGCCTGGGCATTTTATTCATGAGTCAAAAATGTTTTAAAGGTAGTGAAGAGAGAGAGAGAGAGAGAAATTAATGGTGTCAACAAGGCAAGAGAATAATAAACGTCTAAATACCATTGTTAGAAGGGAAAGTATAGGTTAACCTGGGCCCAAATAACTTCCTTCTAACCCATCAGGAGCACATTATTTAAGATACTAAAGTGCTAAATTGGTCAGATAAGAGATGTGCTGAGATGTAAGATCCATTGAACAATGAGGAAAGAAAATTGAAGTGAAAATTGCAATCTCCGCCTGCAAGAAACTTAAGTGAGATGAAGTGAAAATGTTTACAATGGAAGAAGAGAGAGAAAATGTGAAGAGGATGATGTTTAATAATAAAGATAAAACTGGAGACCTGGGGAGGAAAAAGATGACTGGGAAGTGGGTTAGAAAAGCCAAAGCCATCAAGCTCCACAGGGACCTGGGCCCGGGATTGGGGAAGACCTTAGGAGAGCATATCAGAGTCAGCAGCGACTCTACCGAACACTGAATGGACAACTGGTGTCAAGGCAGCAGCAGCAGGTGTTTTTCTGGAAGAAGAATGGTGGAATGATAGTTAAGGAGAATATTGTGAGCTGCAGAAAAGAGCTGTGTTTCACTGACAGCTGGACAAGAACGCTCACAAAGACTTAGCAGAACCACAGAAGCTGTGTCCAAAAACTGGAGGTCTGGTAGATAGGGGTAGAGAGAAAGACAGAGAGACATAGAGATGCTAAAGAACATGTCTTTAGAGATGCATCTGTGAGGAAGGTAACCAGAACTGTCAGCTGGGAGAAATAAAACAAAGAAGGGGAAATAATTCCCACCATGTGGCCAAAGGTGTAAGATCTGGAACTAGACTGCTTGGGTTCAGATCCTCTATGTCACTTACCAGCCGTATGACCTTGGACAAGTTTCTTCTAACCTTTTTGGTCTTCAATTTTCCCACTTGTATAGTGGTAGTAGTAGTATCTGGTGGAGTTGTGGAAACTGAATGAGTTAATATGAGGTAAAGGTCTTAGAATATTGCCTGATACACAGAGAACATCAGTACATACTAGCAACTACTGTGATATGTGGCCAGCCTCTGTGAGTGGTCCTGAGCTGTGCAGAGTACTAGTACTTTTAGTACTTTTAAGTGTGTTTTCTCATCCTTTCAGACTATCCATAAGAGAGCTTATAAGGGTTGTGAGAGAGAGATATATATATGTATGTGTGTGTGTGTGTGTGTGTCTCTGTGTGTGTGTGTATATGTGTGTGTGTGATTATATATATTATATATATATAATCATTACCTCCAGATTACAGTTGTTCTCAAGGGCAGCTTGTAGGGTGACTAAATATGGGTTAAGCCGAGGACAACAACGGTAACATTCCTTGAGGTTTATAACTGCTTTGGGCAAGCCACTTAGCTCCACCCATTGAGCCTCATTTTCTTTCTTTCTTTCCTTCTTTTTTTTCCTGCCTCAGTTTTATTTGTACAAATAGCACAGGAGGACCCCAGCCCCATGCAGACGGCAGCCCGGGAGGAGGGGTGTGTCACACCAGTCCTTCTGTCCTCACGTTGGCAGACAGAGATATCTAAAGCCTTTGTAGGGGCCTGGGCACCTTTGGGAGCCTGAGCTGGAACTGAAGCAGAAGCTGCAGCCTGGACCTTGGTTTGATCCTTTGCCTTGGCCTTTGGCTGGCACAGCTTGAGTGCCTTGGCAATGCGAGCACGGGCATGCTTCCCAAGCTTGGGGTGGGCAATGTAGGCAAGTCACTCAAGCTTGCGGATGACACCCTTTGGGATCTTGGGGTTAACCTCCTTGGGCTCTATGAGGGCCTTGATAGCCTCGGCACATACACTCACAGCCTGCATTGTTGGCCTGCATCTTCTTTAGGCCGTTCTTGTTGCGCTTCTTGGCAAAGCGCATGTTCCTCAGGAACTTAGGGTCCATCCCCTTAAGAGATTTGTATCTTTGTGATCGGAGTTTCTTGATATCATTTCTGTGCCATTTTCAGGACTGGTTGTGTGTGGTGTGGTTCTGGACTTGGCCATGTCTGCACCTTAAGCCGCAGCTCCCCAAGCTGCAGTTTCCTATCTATAAAATGGGGGTATTATGTATACAGTGTAAGGTTTCTGTGAGATCAGCTGTGAAAGTACCTTAAAAAATACCTGCAACACAGCAAGTTTCAATAAAGGTTTGCTGAGTGTGAATCTGCCTTGTGATGTTGGTGGTGGGTGACAGGTTGAAGTACTTTCATCCAGATGGGAGATCGTAACTGTTCTCACAGTGGCTGGTAGAGAGGCCTTGGGTTCAGCTTTTGTCAGAAATTGTAAGGATTGATCTTTAGACCACAAAGTGGATTGACATTTATCTTTTCCAGCTTATCTCCTGAACAGAAAAAAAAAAAAAAAATCCCCCAAAAATCTGACAGCCTAGGTCTCTGAAATGGATTGCTGGTGATCAGAGTGCTATTTAAACTTTCCCCTAAGGTTTTTTCCTCTTCAAAGGAAGGACCTTATCAGCCTAAAGGAAAAGGAGAGAAAGGAAATGGGCCACAGTTTATACCTTATGGCTGCCAGTGCTTCTGTCACAGGAAACTGCTGTCCTCCTCTTGCCCAGCACACAAGCTGGCTCCTGGGTGGGCATCTTGCTGGGGCTCTGACCACCCCACTGGCAAGCAGCTGAATGTGGCTTCTTGGTTAGACCTCTGCTGACCATTTAGGACCAGGATGAATTTGACTAAAGCTGTGCTCTCCCAAAGAGCCTCCTGGAAAGAGGCCTTCTCTACAGTCTAAATCCCTTTGTCCTGCGGGCCTCCTATGTAATAGGCCTTCTCCACTGCACACTCCAAGACCTACTTTCTCTGGAACTCTAGGAAAAGTCAAGGAATTGGACAGGTAGTGATTTTTCAGTTTCTCCCTAAGAATATTCTGGTGGTCTTTGTCACCACCAATAGTAGAAAACAAGCTACCAATGTTTACCCCACTTCTTGGAGAAAATACCACTGTGCAGGAAGAGCATGGAAGATCCCAGCACCTAGCCAGCTGACCAGAGGCCAGTCCCAACACCAGCCTTCTTCAGAAATCATTACCTCCTTTTCTTTCACATCTGCTGTGCTGGAACTAACTGGGAAGCCCCCTGGCAGGTCCCAATATCTGTCTTACAATGTTCAGGCTCCCTCCCCAACAATCATTTATTAGAAAGGGGTTTTATGATACAAATTTGATAATCTCCCATGCACACTGGCACTGTTCTAATTGAAGTTGTAAGCCCATAAAATTCAAGCCCTTTGTCTTCCTGAAGGCCACAAGGTTTAAAAAGATACTATTGTCCTGGCTAACACCCACTACATTGTCACCAGGGACTGATTAAACAGAGTCCTGAATCCAAACAGTGCGGATTTTGTCTAGGTCCTTTTCAGGCCTGACAATGCCCTTTTCAGTTCCCAAGACAAAAAGAGGTTTAAGGATCGAGATTCTTCTAAGATAACCGCATCCATATGGAAGGCAAGGTGGCCAGCAGCTGAGACCCAAACACCCCACTCCCTTCCCCCTCTCTCCTCCTCTCTTTCTCCACCCCCCAAAATCCCAGGTGATAACACTGCCTCAGCCACCCTTCATCCTCCCCTTCTTCTTCCTTGGACAAGAAAGCTAGAGCCCCTAACAGGCCCATGCCTCCTCCTTACAGACTTCATAAAGGCCCTTGGCTCCCTTCCCCGCACTTGATGCCCCAACTGCTCTCCTCTGGCGCATCTCCCAGCAGTGAGTGCCTGGGAGCGAGGTCGTCGCTTCTGTGAGAAAGTGACTGCTTGCACAGGAGGCCCTAGGGGGGCAGTTACAAACCCACGGGGTGCTAGTGTGCACTGGCGGGGGTAAAGGGGGGTGAAGTGAGGCCGACCAGCGGATCCTGGTCTGCGCCATGAGGAGACAGGAAATCACAGCTACATTAGGCACTTGCAGGCTTAACTAGGGGTTACAAGTTCCCCGGTGCTCTTCAGGTCCCCAGGCACTTTTCAAAGGGTCCTGGAGCACTTGGCCCCTGCACTCTGGAAACAGCTTGCGGCCAGGCCTGGGCTGTTCCGGTGCAGCGCGCCCGGCGTCTGGCCTAGCCGGTTCATCTCTGGAGAAACTCCTTTTGCCCTGTCGTGGTCCGCAGGGTTGACTTTTCGGTATTTGAAACACCAGCAGCTCTGGGAGCCCAGCGGAGCCTCGGAGTCACTCTGGGGCCAGAGCCGCCAGAGACGCCTCCCGCTGACAAGAATCCCAAAGTTGCCTCAGCTTCCTCCTCTCCTTTTTCTTCCCGCGCCCAACCCTGACACCACCACCCCTCCATCCCCCAAGTATCTTTCTTAAAGCCGTGTGGGGACTGCAATCCGCGCTTCGATCCAACTGGAGCTGGGCCCCACTTAGCCAGTCAAGGGGCGAGCGAGCGATGCGAACACTGGTCTGGAGGGCACGGCTCCTGCCTACGTTCCCGGCAGGCGCGCAGGGGACCCAACCCTACGCATTTTATTCTCGAACTACGAGGAAAAATACTCTATTTTTTAAAAAATAACTTGCTTCCCATACAAATCGCTATTTAAAATATACAAATAAGGCCCAAGCATAAAATCTAACTCTGGGGCTGGCGGTGGAGGGAAGGTGAGGGAGGGGGCTCTGGCACACGTCCCCCGTGTGTGCTTGCGCGATGGCTGGTGAGGGCGCGCCAGGGGACCCTGGCGCCCAAGGAGATGGGGCTGCCGAGAGGCGGCCGGAGAGAGTTCCAGGTGTTCGGCTCTGGCCCTGCTCCAACCGCACAGCGCGCTCCAAAGTCCAGGGTAGCCCCAGGTGCCCCCCAGCGGCCTCACCAGTTCCAGGAGACCAGGGCGGGAGGCGCTAAGTGCTGGTAGGCTGGAAAGAGGCCAAGCGCCGAACCGGGACCGAAGGCAGGGTAGCCCGGCAGAGGGCAGGCGGCGGCTGGAGGGGCGCCGCACTTGTCCTGGGCCGCGGCGGTGCCAGCCTCGCCGCCGCCGCACGGCTGCCCGTCGCGAACAAGCACCGGCACCACCACGCGACGCAGCAGGCCTGGCGTAGTGTGCAGCTCGGCGGATGCTGCCAGGTCGGGCGACTCCGCGGCCCCCGGCGCGCGCGCGCGCTTCAGCTTGTAGCGATGGTTCTGGAACCAGATCTTGACCTGCGTGGGCGTGAGGCGCAGCACACTAGCCAGCTGCTCGCGCTCGGGCGCAGACAGGTACCGCTGCTGCCGGAAGCGCCGCTCCAACTCCAGCGTCTGCGCCTTGGAGAATAGCACCCGCCGCTTCTTTCTTTTCTCGGCGTCCGAGCCCGGAGACGCGGGCATAACGGACGGCCGCTGCGACGAGTCTGGCGGGCTGGTCTCCAGGCTGCTCTCGTCCGAGGCTAGGGACGGCAAAGGAGACACAGGTGGGTGAGATGCCGGACCCTCCGAGGGCCTGCTGCCCTTCTGGCGAGAGCGTGGAGGCACCGGCCGGAGGGCACGCCCACTAGCACGAGACTTTCGGGATGAGGCAGTTTCCTGAGTCCACAGCTGGACATCCACCTCTCCGAATGCGGTGACCTCATTCATACCACAGCAGTCATCAGCGGGCCTGAGATCGTGCCCCGAAGAAACCCACCCCGGGGCCCTCTTAACACGTCCGCACCGGTAGTTGCGCTGGCCGACCTGTTTATCACAAGCTGGGTCACCAGCGCGGGCCTCCTCCAGGTCGACTGCACTGCAGTGTGCCGAGGTTTGCGGAGCCCTGAGTGGGAAGGGGGTGGGGGTAAACTCGCCAACACTGGCAATCCCAGACGGAGGCCTGGAGATCGTGGCCGTGTTTTCAGGCATGGGAGCGGGGGCGGGGCGGGGGGCGGCAGGGGGCGGCGTGTTTTAAATATTCAATTATTCCGACCCCTAGAAATCGCCAGACACAGAAACCCCAAGTCTCGGGGCACTAGTGCCAGGCAGGGATCTGCTCTTAGGATGTGCCGACTGGGACGAATGCGTTAGGGGTTCGAGGATAGGGCTTCCGTTTCCAAGACTGAGGAAATTCAGACCCTGGGCTGGGATTTCGGCTTTCTGGCCCCGCGTGGGCCGGGCCCTTGATTCTGCTGCCCCACGCCTCCTACCTCCCACCCCGCACCGCCGTCCACCACGCACTCACAGGGGTAGTGACCGCGCTCCGAATCCAACCAGGCCGCGCAGGGGTCGGGCTGCGGGGCGCGTGGTTCTGGCTCCCGCCTCGGCAGGTGTTGCGCGTCCTGCTCGGGTAAATCTAGAAGGCTGCGCACGGTGAAGCTCAGGCGTCCAGAGGTGGCCATGGCCGAGGAGGGGAAGGAGGCGGGGGCAGGGCAGGCTGGGAACGGAGGGGCGGCAGGGACGCCACTCCTACGGATGGGCGTGGGAGGCGCTCGCCATGCGCTGGCAGCGGAATATTAGCGCATTTACAGCGGAATCTCTGTTTATATAAACAGCTCTTCCCACGCGGGCCGCTTTGAAAGCCGAGGTCCGGGTCTCCAGGGTGTTAAGTACCTGAATGAGCACTGGACCAGAGCCGGGGCGAGCCCGGAAGGTGCCACCTCCGCCCCCGTCCCACCCCGCACCCCGCCCCTCGGCGCCCAGTTACCTCCCAGAGGCTGCAGGAAGCAGCCTTCGGCATTAGCGATTCTGTCTGATTAGCCCAAAATGGGAACAGATAATGGGGATTGTTACCAGTGAATAACATCTTGGGTGGCGAGCGGTGGCCACCACCCACCTGACCCAGCCCCGGCTTCCTCCTCCTCCTCCTGGGCTGACTTGAGGCCAGGCCCCGCGGGAGTGCCGGGAAGGGTGGAGGCGACAGGGATGGGTTTATGAGCACCCAGGAATTTATTCCCTGTTTGCTTTATTCTTTGAGCTTGTTTGCTGGAGTGGTAGTTTCCCGCAATTATCCAGAAAGTGATTTACAAAGCGGCGTTAAACTCTGGCGCGCTGCCTTTCTCTTTTTGGTTGGGCCCCTCTAAGATTCAGGATGACAAGATTCAGGAGGGCGCAGAGATTAGCCTGGTTGGCCCAGGGGTTTTTACGGCCGCTGGGAGCCTCCTATCACCCCATGCATCCCCCCAACAGCCTCAGAGGTGCTGGGGAAGGGCTGGGATAACATTCGGAGCCCCAGCTCCACGTCTCCACAGGCCGGCAAAACAGAGGAGGCATGCAGCCAAGCTACTTAGGTCTACGGTGCCGGTTTCTTTGGCCCGGCTTCGCCCGGCCGCTGCCGATCACGGAGCTCGGAGGCCGAGCTCCACAAATTTGGGTCCAGGCCCGGTCTAGAGCCCCCGGGCGGGGGTGCTTCTCAGGTCGTCCTATGAGGGCTTTGAGGCCTGCTTGGAGTCGCCAGATGATCTGGCGCCGCCGGTGTGCCTTGGCCCCATAGCCTCAACGTCAGTCTTAGTGCCTGGGTTTTGGGCTTTGGGCTTTGGGCTTTGCCCAGGAGCCTGCCCATGGCCTGCGCTCCGCGCTCGCAGCGTGGCAGACCCTGACGAGACTGCCCGCCCTTGTCCGGGAATGGACCGATAGGGAGAATTAGGACAGGGCCTACCCGTCAGAAAATACCACCGGCCATGGGTTTCTCTGGGATCTTCTAGTTTCCACAGCTCCACCCTAGAAAATGATCAATGTAGGAGGCGCAGGGAACCGGCCAGCGTGGATACATTTTGTTGGCCCATGGCCTATCTCTGACTGCGCTTCAGTCTACAGCTCAGGAACGCCCTCTCAGAGGCCTCCCCTACTGAAGTTAATAGTTTGGATATTTAATTGCTAAATTGTAGCAAGGGCTCTGTACTTGGGTGGCTGCACCAGAAGTCCTGGTTCCTCCCGGGCTGAACTCGAACCTGGCTTGGATACGGCGGCCGCGGCCCTGCCAAGCCCCGCGCACCCTCCCCAGCAGCCTCCCTATCAAGCGTGCCGGAGGTGCCCGGAGCTGCACCGCGCGCTGGGTGGTCGGGCGGAGGCAACCCCAATACAGGCCAACTGCTAGGCCGCGGACAAAGGGGAAATGGAGCTCGACGCCCCAGACCTGTTGGAAGCATTTGTTCCAGTCAAGATTTTGCATTTGTTCAGTCCGGAATAATACGTGATTGACGCCTGCTCACAATGCGCTTTAGCGCGCCGGGATAAATCGGAGCTTGTCCGGTGTTGTCATGGTTTTCAATGGGGTTCAATGGGATTGGGAGCACGATCGACTCTGCTGGCCGTCTTTCCGCGGCCCTGGCAATAGATTTATTAGTTATATCTTTTTAAATAAGATTAAACTGAAATGACTTGGCTGTCCTCTCTGCAGACGGGGCTGGGGCGGGAGCCTGGAGTGGGCAGGGGGCAGTGTAGTCCGGAAACCCGCTGCGCACCGCTCATCAGCTTCTGAGCCCTCGGCGTCTAGAGAGTGGGCAGGTCGCAGACTGGCTCCAGGCCTCGCGGACTTATCTCTGGCCAGGGCCCGAGGCCTGGCAATCTCTGCCAGCCCACCCCTCTAGTGAGACGCTGAGGCACTGACAAAGACAGTCCTGGGGAAGCAAGCGTTATGACTGATTCCCAAATTCGGTGTTGAACTATGATACTGTGTAAAGTAGAAGGAGCTCTGGCCTGGAAATCGGTTTGCATCCTTGCTCTGCCCCTACCTATCTCTAACCACCTCATTTCTCTAAGCTTCCTTCCTTCCTTTTTTTTTTTTTTTTTTTAATTCATCTGATGCAGAAGAGAATAGGAGAATATATTTGGTAATTTCTAAGGACCCTACTAGTTTTATGATTCCGTATCTCAGGAATTTTTCTATACATATCTTCATTGTAGCATTTACCAGCCGGACATTTAGACTCCCTCCTCCCTGAGGTTCTTGAATTCTTAGCCCCAGGACTGACTCCTTCTCCAGGATGTTCTAGGAGAGGAGGTGTCATCTTTCCAGTTTCCCAAGGATCCTCCACAGGAGTAGGGTGGGGTAGATAACAATTTAGGGAAAAGGACCAAGTCAGGAGAAGCAAAAGAAGAGTCTTTCCTTGAATGACTGACCTCTCTTAGCCTTTTAATCTATTTAACATCCTAAGCCCACACTGACGTGTAGAAATAAGTAAATGGCGCTCTTCAGCTCTTAAGAGCTCTTCAGCATCAAATATTTGCTTTTACTCTTAGTGTTTGGCTCCCAAAGCAGAGATACATCCCCCCATCTAGCGCTTGTGCTCTGGGGAGGACTTTGCTCTGGGATTCGCTCCAAATATTACTTCTAGCTTCATGTTCACTGTCTTGGGAAACAGTGTTCCGGGGCCTTGGTCTGCATTTTAGATGTCCCAGGGAAACCCTGTAGCTCCTGGTTCTAGAAAGGGCTGCAGCTTACCTGTTTCATCTTGGATTCCCTCCTCTGCCCTAAGTGCCTCTGCCATAGGCCAACCTTCCTCTCAACTCTGCTCCGCGGATTTAGCCGAATTATCTCTGAGAGCTAGAACCGGGGGAGTCCAAGAAATTGTTCCATATAAACTGTGCCTTCTGAAGAAATGCAGGAAAGCCAGAATTAGAGAAAGGTACTTTCTATATTGCCTTTTCACATCAGTTAAATTCACAGACATGGGAGGGGAAAATTACTTCGATACTGGGCCAATAGGAAAAGACAGTCAAGCTAATCTTAAGTTTTTTACACATTGGAGATATATACGAATTGCCTCCAATTCCCAAGAGATTCTTAGAATCACAAGTAAGCATTTAACTGGACATTATTTCCAGATTTTCATATATTATTTGGTATTCTGGACACTTGAACTTATTTGCAACTTAACATAGCATGTGAATATTATTATTTAATTAGATAAGTATTTGTTTTCTTGTAATTGGATATAATATATCTCAATTCCAGTAAGAGTTTTTAATCTTTAGGCAGCTGTAATATATGAGTATATTTAAGCAGTCCACAATTATCATCCTTTCAGAAGTATTGTCCAGAGATGATTATCACTACTGCATGCTTAAGATTTTAAGACTAGAAAATTCTGAAATAAAACTAAAGCATCTTGATTTTGAAAAAATGATTGTGTCTATATCTTGCATTCCGTTTTTAAATCCTTCCATTTTGGTTAAGTGTTTCACAAAATCCTGCAAATCTATACAGTATTGAAGAGAGGCAACACTGCAAATTCCCCTTGATAGATGGAGGGCCCTCAACTGCCAGGACATTTTTCTTTGCCTCATAGCAACTGCTCTCCCCTCTTTATCACTATTCTGGTTAAGATAGCAAAAGGAGAATAAAAATGGGGTTCTGACACTTCCAAGAAGTGGATGATCTTGATTGGTCATAGGATGTAAGGAAAAGGCATCATTTAAAATCAGGTCTCTTTGCCTTTGTTTCTGAAAACTAGTTGCCATGAGCATGTAAACATTCCCTTCTAATGGCTAATAATCAATTGCTTGACAGCAGTCCAGTGTTCAGGCTGGGAATTTAGTCCATTTTTGAAATGGCTTTAGATTTTATTGTTTAATGCCAAATGACAAGATTTGAATGATCCTACCTTCAGTCTCTTAAAATAATGACTTTACATTGACTTTGTTATTGTTCTTGATCTCTAGAGGGAAAGTTTATCTTTCCTAATATGTTTATCTAGTTGTTTAACTATGTACATGAAAAAATATATAGAGGGTAAAATGGTTCAATTAATTGAAAAATAAACTTATTTTATTAAATATCCATACTTTCCATTCACTAAAAAGCCAGCAAATAACTTTTTAATTTTTAGTTTATTAAATATTCTGATCTTCTTTATGGCTTACAATGGTATAATAAGGATAGCTGTGTTGGCATGATATAGCAGAATAAAAATAGCAACACACCTTGGAGGAGGGGTGTCAGATCTTATTTGTCCGGAGCTGAACCTCTTATTTTTGCCTAAGCTTTTTTTTTTTTAAGGTACCGTGTTATACTCCTTTGCTCAACTGATATAGATGTTGTTTCTATAACACAGAATTCTTATTGATGTTTACATAATAAAGTTCCAGGCCCTAAGTCACATTTAATGCTACATGCAGACGCTGACAGGGTAGATTGACCCCAGGAACATATTCAGTGATCTCAGTCCCAGTATCTCACATAGGCCTACCCATAGTGTGTGCTTATAACCAACCATCAACACTTCAGTTCAAACCAGTTATTATTTTTTAAATTGCCCAAGCATTATAATGGGGTCTTTAAAAATATACCTTTACTTTGTTGTTAGATCATCTCTGGAATTCTAAAAGGATCCCATTATTAAAGTGAGGTATTATTTCTGCCTTACTTGACAGACATTTAAACAAAACACTAAACCAATCATTCTGGAGAAGTATTTGTTAATATTCCGTGAAGACAGTGATTCCAGTTTTTCAAAGGGCCAAAGCATCAGATGTTCAGTTCTCTTATTGATGTTGAAGATAGTAGTAATAAAAATATCACTTCATATTTTACACATTTGAGAATGTTTACAATGTATACTCACACTTACCTCAGTCTCAGTCACAAGAGATTATCTGGAAGATGGAAAACTTAAAGAGAGACTTGAAGGCAAGACAGACTGAGATATCCCTAGAATTGAAG